GGGAGGGGGGGGGGATGTCACTCAATATTTTGTTTGTGTTTTTCTGAAAGTGAAAATAATGAAAGAGTAAAAGGCAGCAGCACACTGGTCATAATCTAAAAACACATTTGTTTAAATGGCATGGACGTTTTTAGAAACAAATGTTAATGTTATCACACGATCTTCTCATCAGAACAGAAATTCAAAAGATCTATTGATCAGAACCAAAATATAAATAGTGGTGTACTTTTATTTGTATTTTTTATTCTCAGTTCAGTGCTGAATGGTTTCCCATACCCGGGCCGAGTTTTCGTTTCAGGGGAACAATGTTTTTAAATTATCACTCTGTTCGTTAGAGAAAAAAGAAGATTCCTGCTAGGCATTGCTAGCTATAGAAAGGCGCCGAGGTTGTCAAAACTAGCTATGGTAGAATCTTTGTCTCGAAATGACTTATTTAGTGACAGAAACAAAATAATAATTGCCTCAAATATTCAAATAATTGAACATGTTCTGTACATTCTAGTATCTTTACAACAGCAGAGCTATTTTGTATGTTCATAAAACACACGAATTGTCACTATTATTATACAATTTTCATTGTTTTGCCGTAAAAAAACAAAACAACAACAACTGTTAATTAATGTGCTCCACGTGGGCACAATGGGCTTGAGTTTATTCAACCTGCCTGGCGCCACCAATACATTCTTAATTGGTTTTTGTTTCTTAAAAAAACAACAACCCCACAACTTAGCTATAGTCTTTCACTGATTGATCCTAAACTTTTGTATCACTCACAGAAAAAGACAAAAAGGGGTGGGGTTCCTCATTGTCTGTGAGAGCAATTCTAGCATAAGGGTGTGATTATTTTCCTTGTTCAAGAAGCCCTTCATTCACTTGCCAGATCCCGACAGGATTGAGTAGAAATCTAATGCCTATAAGATTTACCTTCGTGTTGCAAGTTTAGATTTATAGCGGATAGGATAGTTGTGTTATTCTTTGTCGACTCAACAGTTTCATTTATTACTGTAATTAAAATGTCAATGTCTTTATCCTTCTCGCCAGTTCTCGCTTTTGGACTCAGTCTAAGGTCCTGGTCGTTCTGTTCCAATAGCCTTTCAAATTAAGGCCTTGTCTTTTCACAACATTATTTTACCAAAGTCACGCCCATGTCCTAAGCTCCTACTTGTTAACTTAAAAAGATATTTTATTGCTTTTCCAAGGAGGATCTCCG